CATCCAAGTTATACAATAATATTTAAATTTTCAGAATTTTTTTTTAAATGAAACTGATTCCTACAGTGAAAATAAAGCAGAAGTTATCACAGCAGAAGATTCATTATCTCTTCATAAATACAGCAGTCGGTTTATTTGCCAAGATCACTTAGAAATATCATTATTATGGGCATTTTCTTAAATTTCCAAGCCTAAAAGTTACCAGTTGCAAGGACACAAACAATAAACCATATTTGTGTTCCCATGGATGTATTTGACTAATTTTCAGAACTATGCAATTGATATGCAGCAAGACACAAAAATAAGAGCAAATGAAATACATTTGAGAAGAATTCCATTAACATTTCAAGTTAAAATACCTTTGTAGAGCTACTGTGATCAAGTTCAGTGTATTTGTGCACATTGTAAATCTGCATCCATGTGTTCACACACACTCAGTAATTCCAGAAATAACCCCAGAAATTACAAAATTCCTACTGAAGAAGACAATTTCCCCCCAGCACAACTCAGTGGATTTGCCAATAACTTTTTGAACTGTATTTCACAAAATCTGCAGATAAAGCAGAAGCTCTTTTTTTCCAGAAACCTTTTAGTTCATTGAAATTTTCTTGACTAAAACCCAGAACCTTCATTTCTGCCTCCTTTGTGCCTCAATCCCTCCATCCCCCTCGTGCATCCTGCCACCCTTCCCTGAGCTCCAGGGAGAGAAATGTGATGGGGGAAATTCAAGGAAGTCTTTTCAGATGAAACATAAATACAAATGTGGTCTAAATCTACCTTTGACCTCAGTTTGTTACTGACCCATTTTCATTTAACACTTCAAAATTCTTTCTACAAGGTTGCTATAAAGTTATGCAAAAAAAGGAAACTGAAACAAAAATCTGTGGAGGTATTTATGAGCTGTGATGTCTCAGAAAGTGTAAAACCCTTCTCCTTACAGTGCTGAGATCACTGACTGCTCTCTCAGATTAAGTCATCTGATGCACTGAGCAACGTTCCAACAATCATTAATACCAGAATTAAGGATAATACCCATTTCTCACAGTAACTGCACCAAAACCAGCACAGCCACCCCACCATCCTTCAGCTTTAACAGAAATATTTTCTCCCATTAACATGCTAAGCTTTTCTCCCTAATATTCCATTATTTCCTTCTCCACAGACTGTGATGAGCACAAATACAGAAAAATAGCATTAAAATAAGAGCAAAGCAATGGCTCACACTCAGCAAAAACCAAACACAAACTGAAGGATGCATGTTGGGAATAATTTATTGCCTATAAAAGGTTAAAAAAAATTCCTAAGTTCACATTTTCTGTGTGGGTTTAAGGGGTGTCACGTTTCAGAGGTAGCATTGTGTAAAATGTAAAACAGAGCTGGAAAAGAGTTAGTGACTTCAGTAACGTGGGAAACTGGTCCAGAGCCAAAGCACTGACCTGAACTGTTTTCCTTCCAGAAACATCCTTGAACACCTCCTTCAGCCAAGAGCATTTGCTCCTTTGTGGGAGAAGAGCCCTCACAAGCCCAAGGCTCTGCCCCGTTCCTGTTGCCTTCTGACCAAAGCAGCTGCTGTTTCTCAGAGCAATAAATACTCATACTCTAAACTCCTGCCCTTCCATGGAAAACACCCATTTTGTAGTGCTGCTTTGACTATTTTCCCCCCAAAACTTTTCAGATTTCGCATTTGGTCAATGTGGTAGAACATTCTTGATTAAAGGAACCAACCAGCACAGTCCAGCTGCTTTCTCTGCAGCCAGGTGCAGTTTGCTCACTGACCAACCCAGCTTTGCTCAGGCACCTCCCAGCCAAGCTGGGAGGATTTGGGGCAGAAAAGGCAGAGTCTGGCCAGGTTCCAGCCCTTCAGCCCCTGGACATCAAGCTTTGGGCTGGAACAGGTTATGAATTGCTCCCGTGGCAGGAATTCTGCTATTCCCTTCGTGAACATTCCTGTCCCTCAGCCTGAGAGCAGAGCCAGCAGAAGGTCAGTGTGTGCAGGACTCTGTGCTCAGTGTCAGGAGATCCCCCAGGGGAGGGCAGATCCATCTGGAGCAGGGATTCCCATTCCCAAGCAGGATGTCCAGGATGCTGCTGGTTTGTTCCAGCCCCTCACCCGTCTGAGCCCAGCAGCACACACAGCTTTTCCCCTTGGAGAGCAGACTGTCCAAAGCTGCTGCCCAGTTCAAGGTGAGGAGAGAACCAGCACATTCTTTTCCTCACTCACAGGGCTGCAAAGCCCCAAACTCCTCCTTTATCACTTTTTATTGCCTTAGTGAAAAGAAATACTTGGAGAGATTAAAGTGCAGAACTGCCTCCAGGGCTGGGCGCTCCAGAAACCTTGTATGGTTCATCTGCTCAGGTACCTTTAAACCTGCCCCAAATTCACCTACTGGAGTATTTATTGTTTTATTGGAGTATTTCCTGCTACTGTTACTCCTGTCAGACCTATGGATGTGACTGAAGCATCACCTGCAGGGAGAGGAAAGCAGGCAGAGCTCCAGGAAACAGGGTTTAACCATGAGCAAACCTTCCAGCAGCCAAACCAGCTCCCCAGGGAGAGCCCCTGCTGCCTCTGGGTGAAGTGTCTGCTCTGGGCTACCTTCCCACCTTCTGAAAGGCATCACTGATGTTCCCATGGATGCTTTAGGAATGAACAATGCCAGGGAAGTCATTGTTCATGGACAAAGAGACTCTGCAGGATGGTCAAACATTGATACCTGGGCACAGAAAGGTGGTAATTCACACAGAAGTGTGAATTATCACTGCAGCAGGCCCTTCTGCTGCAGTGATAATTCACATTACAGTCACTCACTGGGACAGAAAGGGGGCTGATTTCAGTCACCCAAAAAAGCACAGCATGAGCCTCATCTCCTATGGAAGGGTATGGAATGATGAACTGCACTTACTGCAGGTGTTTGTCACCATCCTACAGACAGAGGAAACACCCTGAGCCCAAACCCACCCCAGAGCCACCCCCACTGCTCTCCAGCAACATTTAACCACCACTAATGGCAACAGCCATTGGATTTCTGTTGGAAATACACACTGACACTGAAAAAACCCAGCCAAGGAGCTGTGGAGCATCTTCCTCCCCAGATTTTGTTATTTAGGGATAGAATTTACACTCTTTTTTTTCCTGACCATCCTGTAGTGTTGTCAAGTGTTCCAGGCTGTTTTGTCTCCCCACAGAACATCCCCAGGGATGGGGTGGGCTCTGACTGCAGCTCATCTCAGCTGCACATCCAAGAGGATCCCAGCTCCCTGGAGAACAGGGACTGATATCACTGCTTGTATCTAGCAAACAGTTCATTCAAAATTCATTCCTTCGATTTGTTTGGATATGAAATAGCAGCAAGACAGCAAAGTAGGAATCATCAATGGAAGTTTTTCTTGCAGGAAGGCAGGTGATTTAATTGACCATGAAATTGAGAACTCCTGTTAAGAGTATCCTGCACTCTCTCATGGGAATTCAAGTGGAAGAAGCAGGAAAGCAGGGTCCAAATAGTGGCAAATCCCAGCACTATTTTATGTTAATTTCACAGAAAACAGGAGGTTTCATTGTCAGTGGCACAAATTTCCTGTCTAAAGAGAACAGCAATAGAAACCATTGTCAGCCTGGCACAGAAAACCCTTTATAAATGAGTTTTTCAGAGAATTCCAGCTCAGCTCTGTCCTCCCTGTGAAGGACAGCACTGTGAGCTCTGCTCACAAACCTCCTTTCCACTCAGAGTTTTAATGCCTCAGCTCACACCCAGGCCCAGCAGCCTGGAACTCTGGGCTTTCCCTGGGGAAGGGTGGCTCTGCTGGGAACTTACAGAACTGTACAGGGAGTAAAACTGTGAGACTTTTGGTTTTTCAGAACACCTTTTAAAACCGTTCCTGCCCTTTCTGCAGCTGGTATTTAACAATATTGCTAAAAGCTCCTCATGCCCAAGGAGAGGAGAGACTAAAAACCTGAAAGAACAGAGCTCACTACTGATACTAAACAGAAAGAGCTGTACAAGTGCTTAGGGAGGAACTGATCAGACTGAGAAAACCCTGAAACCTGAGTCTAATCCCAGAAATAAAGGAAAAAAAGGTGTTATCTCCCCAACACTCTGGATTTTCTGAGCTACACCTTGGACCTCCCACTGAAATTAAGGGGTTTACTCACTGCATGAGCGAGGATTCCCCAGAGTCAATTATTTTATTTGGCATAACATGGGAAGATCAGGTTTTTTACCAGACTGAAGCATCTGTGTGAAAAACGCTTGCTGAGGGATATCCAGGCTGGAATTGGAGCATCAATGCCATGGGCAGGCACCTGCAGCATCCCACAGAACCATCCTGGAGGAGAAGGGCTCCAGGACTGAGACCTGCCTTGGACTGGTCACCGCCCTGTCAACCACAGCAGCACTGCCTTGGCCAGGCATTCCCTGGACACCAGCACAGCCCCCTGCATCCACCTGCACATCTCTGCACAGCCTTTCCACCACAGGACTGAAGGGATTCAGTGCCAACAGCTCTGGGAAAGAAGAAATTCAGTTCAGCCTCTGCCTGCAATCCAGATCACAGTTTAGAAATGGCATTTGCCCAAAATTGCACCAGGCAGGGCTTCAAACCAGATCTGCAGAGCTCACTTCCAACACTGGAAAACCTTTCAGGATGCAATGCAGCTGTGGAATTCTGACTGGCTTGGTAAACTGGAGCAAAGTTTGTGGAAAAATACATAACCAAGAATTAAAATAATAAGCAGTATTTTAGCATTCAAGCTTTGACAAATAAAAACTGTGACTACAATCATTAAACTCTAAAGAGTGCAAACACCCAATCCCATTACTACTGTATTAGGAAGTTGTGTCCTGCAGGTATCAGGGTTCCCATTTCCACCTCATTTCTTCCAACACTTATCACTGCTTCTTTGCATTAATAATTTATTCATGATAATTCAATTTTTTCAGTTAGCCTTTCAAGGTTTTTTCAGCTATTTTGGTCAGAAAAATGGAAGATTTAACAATCTCAAATCAGAAAACTAAAAACACTTCAATTTAATTTCAGGTTTTCAAGCACAACTCAGAGAAAGCCTGTTATTCTATTTGGATCCCCAATTTTTAGTCCACCTACCTGAGTAAAAATGGGGAAAAATATAATAAACAGGCCTGGGGAGCACGTGGAGCTGGAGAACTCACCGTGTGTGTTTCCCACTCTTGCATCCCTGCTCAAAAAGACTTTGCTACAGAGCCAGAGCTGCTCTGGAGAGTCAGAGTTAATCCTACCCGAGGCCAAGCTGCTACCAGTGAACCCTTCCCTCACCCAGCTCTTTGATTTTCCAACCCCAGCATTGCCAATTCCCGGGCAGTGCAAGGCTGTGAGGAGCCAGAGCTGCCCTCCAGCACAGGCTGGGAACACTGCAGAGCAGAAGCCCCTCTCTCTGTCTCTCTCTCTCTCCTGCACCTCCCTGGGCTTTCTGCTGTGTCCTGCAGCACAGAGGCATCACAAGCTGTCCGAGGCGTTCTTCTCCGACAGCGACGAGAGGCTGAATGAGGTATCGTCGGGCTCCGGGGAGGTGTGGTTGAAATCCATCTCTTCAAGTTCAGGAGGTAAGTCTGAAAGCAGAGCCTACAAGGGAAAAATATATCTAATATATGGTATATGCACTATTAGGTGTGGGTTTTATGTCAGCGGTGATTTAAACAAAAAGTGTGAGAAAATTGTTTGAGTTTTTTAAACATAATTTGAGCCTCTGGAATAAACCCAAGGGAGGGACACAACACAAAAGGACAAGCATCTGTCAACATCAATTCTGATATTAAACCTGCTCCAGGATTTACCTGCTGCTGTTCCTTATCATCTGATTTAATTGCAAGTATCAAACTCCGGGTAAACGTCTGCAGCTCAAAATATTTCTGTTTGTGGCTCTCCAGCTGACTCTCGATGAACCTGACTTCTTCATTCTGTGGGGAAAGCACAGAGCTCTGGGAATGATCTCAGAACCATGGAATCCTTCAGGCTGGAAAAGCCCTCCAAGGCTGAGCCCAACCATCCCCCAGCACTGCTAAGGCCACCACTGACCATGCCCCCAGGTGCCACATCCACGTGTCTGTTAAATCCCTACAGGGATGGGGACAGGACAAAGCACTGGAATAACCACACCTAAACACCCCTGAGTCAAAACTAAACTATTTCAGTGACAATGACAACCAAAGCCCAGATCTCTTCCTAGAAGCAATCAGGGGGCTGAGAGAAGCGACAGCAAATAAATTCATTATTGCAGCAGAAGGCTTGACACAAAAACCAGGGAAATTACTTGAAAATTCCTCAAAGCTACCACAAATTAAAAGATAACATCCTCCAGCAGCTGGGTTTGATGTGGATGAAGTGTCAGCTCACCAAGCTCCTCAGGATCCCTCGGGTTAGAGAATAAACAGGAATATCAGAGAGTGACAGAACAGTTTGGAAGGGACCTTACAGATCATTCAGTCCCAGCCTCCACAGAGTTGTTTATGAGGCTGGAACTGGATGCAATATATTACAAAGTGAGGAAAAAAAAAATAAATAATTTGTGTGCTTTGGCTAAAAAAGCATTTTCCCAATCTATACTTGCAAATCTCTTAGTTAAAAATTCCACTACTTAAATGGAATTCCATTAAATAAATGGAAATAAGTATTTCCATTTATTCCAAGTATCTCTTCTCTTTCAAACTTAGTGGATCAAAATGCTAAACCTGTTGATTAGTGCAGAGCTAAAATTAATTTTGTCTGGTTATTCACTTTTGCAAAGATCATGAAAATCAAACTGTTTATTTAGGTTACAAGATCAAAGGCATTGCTCATTTTTGCAGAAGGGTTCTGCTTAATAGCACCAACTCATGAGAAAATAATGAAAAAAAGATGATATTAATGCTCACACAGGCTGGAATTCAGCTTTAGTTGACATGAAAAGTGTATTACATGTTGCTCTAAAGGTTTGCAACAAACCTTTAAAAATTATATTTTTGTTGGTTTTTCCCAGAAAATTCACATTTTTTCAGTGAAAGCCCTGCTCACCACACTGTTCCAGGTGATAACAGCTCTGGGAATGAGAGAGGAGTATTTGAGCTGCAATTCTGAGGCTTCTGTAAAAAGTCAGCTGAGTTCTTCCCTACGGATATTTAGCAGTTGCCTGTTTAGCTCTGGATTTCGCTCAGCCCGGGAAGAATTCAGATTTAGGCAGAAAACTCAGGGAGCAATCAGTGCTGTCAAACAAAGCCCTGGCTCTGCAGGGCACTGTCACAACAAGCCTCTCACTGCGCTGACAGGTGACATTAAGAAAAGGTCATTCCCTCTCCTGATTCATTCCCCGCTGCCCTTCCCAGGAAAACGCTGCTGGAAGGAGGAATTTCTGTTCTGGAGAGATGATCTGTTTATTATTTTGGTAATTGATTATTATCAGGAGAACAGACCTGGTTTCTTAGGGGAAAAAAATCAGCACTGGAGGTAAAAGCTCAAGAGAGGTGGAATTGTGGCAGCTCCTGGGGGAGCAGCACAGACACAACCCTCAGCCTTGCCAGGAAACAGGAGCTGCCAGGGTCCAGCTGCTTCTCCTCCCTCCCAGTGCCTCCACTTCCAGGCATGTCCTGGGAATGCCTTCTCCTCAGATGCCCCCACTCCAGCCAAGGATTCCTTCCAGCTGTCCAGTCCCTCCCAGAGCTGGCAGCACCACGCTGCAGGAACAGTGTTGCAGCATTCCGAGAACAGTTCTGCTGGGGTGGCTCCATAAATCCCTTTGTTGGGACACATGGAGGGAGCTGCAGCTCTGTAGAATTGGGGTTTTCCTGCCTTGATTTGGGTTGAAACATGGATAAAGTGGCTGGAGGTGGGATGAGGGCATGATGTGCACACTGGGAAAACAGCAGAGGAGCTCAGGATCCCACAGGCTTTTGCTGAATTCCTGACAGATCCAGCCCCTGAACTCCCTGGGGATTATCCCACTGTCCCTGACATGGCCCAGTCACTCACCTTGTAATCCAAAAGAGAACTCATCTGATCCACTTCAGAATTGCTGATCAGATCACTCTCCTCATCATCTAAAATTTCTATTTTCTGAAACAGAAGCGAACAGTTCATTCCAACACACAGAGGAGACAAACAAACGGGAATCCACATCCCAAAGAGTCAGGAGCAATGAAGGATGAAGGAGGAAGGATGAAGGAGGATAGATAAATGATGAAGAAGGAAGGAAGGAGGGAGAGCTCTGTGCTGGCTCCTGAGCAGCTCTGAGCCATGCAGCCCCATTAGATGGCAATCATGCACCTCAGCCAGGAGATCCAGCAGGAATCCAGTGGGAGCTGCTGCCATGGAGACTCGGGCTGTTTACAGAGGAGGAGCTCCCTGGCCCAGCTTTTTGACTTTAAGTTGCACATTTATCCCCTCACAGCCCCTGCTCTGCTCTATTGTTGCAAAGGAGGATCTGGAAGTTTATCCCTCTGGATAAACCAGCCCTCACAGCAAGTCCTGAGCTACTCCTGGCCTAAAGAAATCAGGGAGTTCTCCTCTGACCCTCCCTGGCCACATCCCCTTAGCTGCAGGGGTGCTGATCCCAAGGACACCTTCAAATGCATAAATATGGACATTTTCAAATACATAAATATGGACAATTCACAAAAATGTGGGGAGCTTTTTATACTGGGTTTCTAAAGACACCTAAAGCACAGTGTTCAGGCCAAGCTTAACACTGACTAAGACTCAGAAATACGTCCCAAGTTTTTTTTTTTTTATTGTTTTTAATTGTTTTGACAAGTTGTGAACATCTATGAACCTGTCCATAATAAGTTAAAGCAATTTTCCTATTTTTTAGGATGGTGTTTAACCCAGTGTAGGGAAGGGCCCCCACTGACCCAATCCATGTCCATGGATCATTCCTGAGGTTTTAATTCATGTTTTCCTGCAGCATGTGGCCCCTCCTGCCTGCACACCAGGAATTTCCCTGAAATCACTGGAGAAATCCTTCCAGGGGCATTCCCAGCTCTCTCTGGCAGACCCACCAAGCTCCCAAGCCTGTGCTGAAGGCAGGGAGGATAAAGCACATTTTGTGTGCTCCAGTGTCTGCCAGCCCAGCTGAATGAGTCCTGCTGCTCCATCAGACCCTCAGGAACACTGGGACTCCAATATTTTTGGTTTCAGACTCAGCTTGAGGAAGAGTCTCTAAGTAACTGCCAAACATTCACATTCCCCTTCTTAGACACACTTTTTAAGATAGGAGGGGAAAGAACTGATTAGAATTTCAAATAGGAAAACCTCTTATGCAAATACAATGTATTTTAGTCCAATTTTAAGTGCATTTTTAAGAAGTTTTGTTACAGTGCTTCAGAACAAAGTACGAAGAAACTCTTCCTTGGGTTTGTTCCATTGTTGTATCAAATGACAAAATCTGGGGCTCAGGCAGGTTGGGGAGCTGTCTCTTGGGCACCATCTCTGTAAACAATTTCTACTGAAGGTTTTAGGGTTTTTCCTGCTGTGTTTTAGAATTTTTAGTACATTTTTAAAACTCAAATAGGAAGGACTTTTAACACACACAACTGAAGCTATCACCTAGTGAAAAGCACAAGTGCTGGACAACAACCTCAACATTAATTAAGGAGTTATTAGTTGGTGGAAAAGGAAAGGTAAACATACCACATTATCAGCGGAAACTGGATTCTGGTCATCATCTTTATGGCCAATTTCTTCATTTTGAAGAGCTTCATTTGTCTCTTCTGCAGAAATAAATTGGTTTTGTCAGATTTCATTCCAATTTTATGCTGAAGGACCATTAATGGTGTTTACCACTAAATGTCACAGCAGTTAAATCCAACAGCAAAGTCATGGTATCAATGTCTAACCATAAACAGAATATCTGCCTTATTAAAAAGACATCTTGTCACAAGCATTTCAGGCCAACATCAAACCAAGTGCCACCTGAAACAACAACAAAACTCTCAGTTATTCTCTGCACCAAAACCTTCCCATTTTTAGGTTCAGGTTGGAATATTCAAAGGTAATGAAGAGTTTCACATCAGAGATGTGCAGAAGGGTTTTTTTAAAAATTAAAGTGAATTCCTACATGAAAAATTCTGCACTCCCTAAAATTCTGGGGTACATATCTAAATCCCACTTCCCCCTTGCAGACACTGATGGGTTTTGAACCAAAACTTGATCAGATTATGGCAAATGCTTATCCCCAGTGAACCTAAAGTGCTTTTTTTTATGTATAAACACTTGAAAACAGAGCAGATTTTACTCTGGTATTTCAACCACAATGCATGAGATGATTCCACTGACCTTAAAAGCCAAGGAGAACAAAAAACCCAAAAAAAGGTAAGTCTATTCACCCCTAAAATTGAAGTTTGTTTCTCATATTTACTTGACTTCTGCATATTAAAACATAAATCTATGACACATATTAAATATAAAGAGGAAAAGAGGGAAGGGGCAGCAAGGTTCAGATGATTGAGAGTCTGCACCCTCACACAAACACAGGGATAACAGGATTTCCCTGGGATTACCAAAGACAGGGAAATGTTTAGGCCAGACCACAGAGAGCCAGTTCATGGTTTTAAACAATTTCTAAGTTAAAAATCTCTACACTGAGCAAATTTGATTGGGGATTGTTTCAAATGAACTCAATGTACCACTGGTCACAGCTCCGTAGGACAGTTTGTGCCAGGAGCACATGGGATCAAAGGGAGCAAGGATGGGTGGAGGTCACTTATGGCAAATGCTTATCCCCAGTGAACCTAAAGTGCTTTTTTATGTATAAACACTTGAAAACAGAGTAGATTTTACCCTGGTATTTCAACCACAATGCATGAGATGATTCCACTGACCTTAAAAGCCAAGGAGAACACAAAACCCAAAAAAAAGGTAAGTCTATTCACCCCTAAAATTGAAGTTGGTTTCTCATATTTACTTGACTTCTGCATATTAAAACATAAATCTATGACACATATTAAATATAAAGAGGAAAAGAGGGAAGGGGCAGCAAGGTTCAGGTATGATTGAGAGTCTGCACCCTCACACAAACACAGGGATAACAGGATTTCCCTGGGATTACCAAAGACAGGGAAATGTTTAGGCCAGACCACAGAGAGCCAGTTCATGGTTTTAAACAATTTCTAAGTTAAAAATCTCTACACTGAGCAAATTTGATTGGGGATTGTTTCAAATGAACTCAATGTACCACTGGTCACAGCTCCGTAGGACAGTTTGTGCCACGAGCACATGGGATCAAAGGGAGCAAGGATGGGTGGAGGTCACTGGGTGAGGTCACTCCTCAGGGACATTCCAGGGCACCAGGAACTCTGTAACCCTGGCAGTCACCCCTTGGATTCAACAGCTGAAGGAAGCAGCTCCCTACAGCATTCCCAAGTCCTTAAACATTCATCCTCAGCTCACAGAACTGGCACAGCCCTAATGGCCTCCACCTACACACTGTGGATTCAATTAACACACAATTAAAGAAGGTGAGGCAATATGAGAGCTTTAATGATCCCTTTTGCATCACAGCACAGCTTTTTTTTTTTATATTTATACATTACATTTTAAAAGCAGAAGCCATCAACTTTAATCACTCTAATTAGGTGACCAAAAATTGCTTTTGTCTATCTTTCAGAGTGGTTTTTTGCCATTTTGGTTTTGTTTTTTTAATAAATTAGGACCAAAAGTTGCAGTTCTCAAACATTAGAACAATTCCCTGTCTGGGACTGAACATAACTCATGGGTATTGGGGGAAATATTTTCCAGGAAGTTCAAAACCAGCTGAGCTGCAGCAGTGATACCTCCTCCTTTGAACTGGAGAAATGAACAGAAATAATTGTAGTGGGAGAATAAAGGAATGAAGGTGGGATTCCTGAATGCTGTGGAAATCCTGTCATTTCCTTGCATTTCCTTAGGCTTTGATAGTAATAATGCACCCAGATGTTCAGCCTCACCCTGCCTGCTGAAAGCCTGGCTCAACCAACATGGAATTATTCCTCACTTGAACTGCAGACACTTCAGACTCTTCCCTGTCACCGTTTTCTCTGACTTAAATCAGCTCCTTCCACACCTCAGGCAAATCAAGGATCTGAGATTCCTCATCTCACTTGGCTTTCAATCACTTGACCCATTTCTTTATCATCTTATTCCCTCTACAGTGGAGTATGACAAAGCTCTCCCAAACTCATTCCCAGCCGCCTCCGTTCCCCTGGCTCTTCCCTTGAAACTGTTCTGAGGACATGCCAGGACCAAGCCTGGCACACTGAGCTGCAGAGCAGCAGGCCCGAGGTCAGACTCTCTTTTAGCTTGCAGAGCAAAGGCTCCATTGATCTCCTGTTAGCACTGGGAGCAATTAGTGAGTGGGGGATGTGCCGGGCTCATGGACAGGAGGGGCAGGGAGACATCGATCCCATGGGCTCCTGGGAGGGAACAGGGAATTCAGCTGAAGGCACTTCTCCCTCCAGATCCTGCAGTTTACTAAGGACACCCCCTGTGTGTGCAGTTCCAAGGCTCCTGGGCTGTCCCCTGCTCCTGGCTTTGATCTGCTGGTTGTGTTTGCCTGTCAGACAGAGCAGCAGGAGGCCTGGGCAGCTCCTTGTTCCAGCCTGAGCTGAGGGGTTCCCTGCCAGGAGAAATGGGAATGCACAGTCCCAGCAGCTCTGCTCAGTACCAGCAGCAGCTCCAGCCCCACCAGTGCCTGGGGTGGCTCAGCATCACGGGGATGGAGCTGTGGAATCATGGGTTGGGATGGGAGGGACCTTAAAGCTCATCCAGTGCCACCCCTGCCGTGGGCAGGGACACCTTCCACTGTCCCAAGCTGCTCCAAGCCCTGTCCAGCCTGGCCTTGGGCACCTCCAGGGATGGGTGACAAATGGAATGGCCATTCCAGCTGGCTGGGGAGAACTGAGCAGCTGGCAGAGAGCATTTTCAAAATCTGGCTTCCTTGGGAAGTGAGGCTTCCCCAGCTGTACTGGCTGCCCAGCTCTCACTTCAGCACCAGCAGAACGTGAACTGTTGACTTCATTTCTGATGAATCTGGCAGAAATGGGACTCTTATGATCAAAGGTTTTTCCAGCCTTTGTACAACAAACCCAACAAAACTCAGAGACACAGAGGCAGAAGAAAGAGACCAAACAGTACCTTCAGCCCAGGCGGGGTGGAGCACTTGTGACTCTGTCAGACGTTTTTGAATGTGTACAACAGAATCCAAAGCATGCACACTGCACAAAATTGAAAATATAGGCACAGTAGTAACTGCATTCCAAATACCTTGTGAGCTTCCTTCAGATAAGCAGATTGATACTTCATCATTCCTATCATTATCATCCCCCACTTCAGTAGCAGTTTCCTCTCCTGGATTAAGTGCTGATTTAGAAACAAATTCAGATTGATCAGAGAAATCAGCAGGACCTCCTCTAGGGGGTGGGACCTCAATCCCCATTAAACGATATTTCCGTCTTCGATTCCCAATCCAAGTCTTGTAAGAGAAATAAACATGAATGATATCAGAAACTATAACAAAAGCAACAGACCCCCAACCAAGTGACATCAGCACATCTGGCCTACAGGAGCAAGGGTGCAGCCAGCAGTTCAGGGAGCTGAGTATTCCCCAGTATTTCCCCCTCCTGAGGCTGCTTCCCAAAATCCTGTGTCCAGGTTCAGCTTTCCAAGGAAGGTGCACAGCAAAAGGAAAAGAAGCAATAGGCACAAGTGGCAGCAAGGAAGTTCTGAATGGAATTGAGAATATAAAAGACAAAATAATGTTTTACAGTGAGGTAGAGGGGCAGTTTGTCCATAAAAGTCTTGGTAGCTCCAGCCTTAGAGGTACTCAACGTTTTACTGGACAACATCCTGAGAAACCTGACTTGATTCCAAAGTAAATCCTGCTCCAGATAAAGAGCAGGACTAGGTGACTTTGTAAGGTTTCTGCCTAAATTATTCAACAAATTTAACATAAGATCTTTGATCCAGGCTCTCCTACTCTGCAACTTCCATAAGGGGACTGAAGCATCTGATGACCCAAACATCTCCCCTGTTCTAGGATTTCCTGCAGCACAGAGGGAACAGGGCAAGGTGACAGATCCAGAGCACTCCCCTTGGAGGACAGGAAGGAACTTGGAAGAATAAAACTCAGAGCAGCTCATCCTTCAGTCCCCTTTGGCTGTAAAACAGAGCTTTAGGAAAAGTTGTTTGCATTGAGGGCAGAGGAGCACACTGGGAACAGTCTGGGAGATGAAACCAGCCCAGGGAACCTGGAGACCCTGCCATGGTGGGATGGAGATGGATGCTTTAAGTTCATCTTACATCAATAAAATTGAATTTCAAAGGAGAAAAAAAAAAGAAGACCCACATTCTAAATTCTCCAAGTGGATCTGTACCTGGTCATTAATTTGCCTTCTCTGATGAAGAAACATTTACATGAAAATTTATTAAAGATTCAGAGTTTAACATGATGTAACAAGAATTGTCTGCAACTCTTCACCTCCTGAGACTCTCCCATCCCTTGTGTCACTCCTCATCTCATCTCAACTCTGCTCAACAGCCCCTGTACCCCAGACCCTTCATTCCATCAAATCAGTTCTCCACTGGCAACCAAAAATCCTTCCCAGAGCCAGTTTCTGGCTCACTTCCACTTCTTTACCAACTGCTACTCCCACTCTTCTGGGGCTGGCTCTCGTCCCCCTTCCCACCACCCACATCCCCAGAAACAGGAGCAGCAGCTCCTGGGTTTGAAAATATGATCAGGCCATGGCAAAATGCACATCCTTTCCATGAGGCCTCTGTTCCAAATGAGTATCCCAAGACATTAAAATATTTTAGGATTTTTTTTGAAGACACACTGAACATCACTCTGGCCTTATTTCAGAAATACCTGCCCTGTTCCTCCTCCTAGGGTTCTGGGAAAGTTGAATAAAAAACTTTTTGCTTATAATACCTTGATTACCAAAGAGAAAAAGTAACGGAATATTAACAGCAGTCCCAAGTGCTAAACACAGTTTCATGCTGTGCCAGCCTTGGAAAAAAAAACCCTTTTAAAGCTGCATCTCTAACAAGCTAACAGATAACATGCTGAAAGTATTTTTAGCAAATCTTTTTTGTTGGCTGGTATTTGCTTTCCCAGCTTGCTGATTTTCCTCTTTGAAGAATGCACAACAGGTATGCAGAGAGAACTACCTGGATGTTTTTTTTCTATTGCCTACAGTTTGGGGAAAAAAAATTAAACAAAACCCCCACACAAGCAGCCCTTTGAGATCTGGGTCTCTTTTTTTCCAAGCAGTGTATTGCCATTCTTTAAATTTTCCCATCATCTTGTGATTTTAACAAACAGTGCTAACAAAATTTAAAATTGAATATATCTCTTTTTTAGTAAAAAAGGCACTTGGGAAAGGCAGATCTTTTCACAGACTTTTCAAAGCAGAAAATCTTTCATTCAACATACTGAGAATGTCAGAGAAGATGAACATGTTTTGATAGTGTCTCAAATTAAATGGGGAAGAGAAGGTTCCACATCCTGTGTGCTGTGCCGAACAGAGAATATTCTGGAACAGCAAAACAGTGAGGGCAAGAGCAAACTGGAATTGCCCCGTGGGAAATCATCTTGAGAGTTCTATCCCTAAAATACATCCTCCTTAAACACTGCCAGCAAGGTCTGTGAGTGCATGGGATCATTTGTGACCTGCTCTGGTACAGGTGATGGCAGAGCCTTCTGGGGTGTCCTGGTCTCTGCCCTGAGGACAGAGACATTCCAGCAGGAGGAAAGGTTTGCACAGAACCCCACGGTGTCATCCCTTGTGTGCCAATGAGGATGTCCCCAAGGGAACAAACCAAGGGAGCCTGGGTGTCACTGTGCTGTCCAGGAGGTGCTGTCAGGGGGAACAGCTTCACCTTCAGAGAGCAAAGGGAAATCCTTGGAAAACAAGGAACAGCTTTGCTCTCTACAGAGTGATTAAAAGAGTGATTCTCTTCAGCCTCCAAAACTACAATTGGGTTTTTTAGAATTCCTGTGTGCCCACAAAAACAAATAACCAGATTGGTGTTCAACCTAAAAGCAGCTTTGGGACCATTTGGATGCACCAAGCCAGAGGTCTCCACAGCAGGAGAGCTTCACTGAGGGCTCTCAGCCCTGCTTCTGCAGCACTGTCAGGAATTTGGGAAACAGGTGCAAAAAGAGGATGAAGGCTGAAAGGAATAATCCCAATTGTCACAAGGGAAAGGAAGGCTCCTGTCCTTGTCTGACTGCAAACAGTGGGGCCATTTCCTGAGGCTGGGATGGGCAAAGAGACCCCAGAGTGCTGCTGGGTGTCTGCTCATCCAGGGCACAGTGACACAACATCCCAGCCTCTGGAGGAGATGATGTGCAGAATTTTTGGGAGCCAAGTCATCTCCAGCACACCTGTGCCTCCCTCAGCCACCTACAGCAACCATCAAACTGAACTGACCCAGGATTCCTCCATCACACCTCAACCTGCCCTCAAGACAGTCTTGTCAAATATTCTTCTTTCCTATTTTGGAGCATTTTCTTTTATACAATTTTCCCTATAAGCATGAATGAGAAGTATTTTCCCTGTATCTCTAGAAAAGCCCTTTTTTGGTATCTTATTAGCAATATAAATAGTATATTGCTAATACACTATATGCTTTCAGTCTTCTAGGATCTCCCTCAAAAATGTAACACTTTTACTTAAAATTTTACTCAAGAGAATGTCAAACAGCTCCTAGTGCTGCTTTGCTGCTGATCAATAAGACCCTGACCTGAGGGCTTTTACTAAATATAGACTGCAGAAAGAGCAGGAGAGCACTTCCCAACATGGTCATTCATTATGTAATACGTGAAATCTATTTCAAGCTTCCTCATGAAATTTTTAAAGCCTTTCATCTGTCCTATTTTTGCTCCTGCGACAAGATAAGGGAAGACTCTGGATTTCTTACCCGAACTATTTCACAGTCAACATTTAATTCTGCAGCCACAGCTTCAATTTTCTCTCTGCAGACTGAGCCCAGGCTGGTCATGCCATTGTCCCAGTATTTCTTTAGGGTAGCTAAGTCTCGGTCACTAAATTGTGTGCGGTCCTGTAACTGCAAGATAAAAAAAAAATACTGTTAGATTGAAAAAAAAATCTGCTTATCCTGAGCATTCATGTCCAGAGGTCTTCCACACAGTAACACACACGTTCTACTGTCTCCATCTCTCTTCTCTTTTAAGTCTCCCTTAAGAATTTGGGCTTTTTTTCATTTCTTTTTTTTTTTTATCCAGGGCACTTCAGAGTTCCCTGGGATTTGCTGTAAAAGCAGTGGCAGCATTAACACAAGTTTAAGGGGCTTCAGCTTTGTTTCAACTCCACCTGATTTCTTTGGTAATTTGTTTTATCTCATTCTATAAGGCCTTACTGAAAATAACTTTTTTTTCCCTCTTGTGCTGTTTACTCTCTCCACCCAAATTATGCAAATTACTCCTTAAAGGCTTTTCAAGTTTCTCACCCTCCCCCCTTAAACTTCTTTTATCTTACTGCAAACTACAACACATGCATAATTCAAAGGATTCTGACTTCCTAAAGGGAATACTTTAATGTTTATGTGGTGAGCTTGAGTTTAAATTGGCTCCACTGTTTATCTGCGAGTTCCCAAACTCTTTGTCTACGTTTATCAAAACATGTGATAGTGGATCAGTAATAAAAGGACTAACACTGAAAAAGAATTCCTAAACATCTTACCACTGTTTGAACTGGTGTGAGCACAGAAAGTATTTCTCTAGTAGAGCTTCCAAGCTTTAAGAAGCTTTTCACACAGAATTTTATCTAAAATCTACAGTTTCATTACACCAATCCATGTTTTTCACTTTTCCTGCTATTCAGAGGACAGAAAATGAACCACAAAGTCTGCACTGGTAACTGGTAGCCCATGTGCCACATGTGTCATTATTTCAGTAGCTCAATTGTGTTCATGATTTCAATAGCTGAATCCTGTGTTTGCTCATTTAAAAATCGTTAAAAGTTAGAAAGAAATAATTTTAAGTGAAATAAAAAGTAATTTTACAGAACTAGGATCATTTGACAATCTTGTACAGTTCCCAGTTCCAGCTTTTGTTAATCTTCAGAATATCGTAATTGTCGCAATTTTCTTCTCTTAAAAATTACTATTTCTCAAAATGTTAGAAGTATTTGAGCCTCCTCAATATAGGAACACAGAATAGGGGCACCAAACCTTTGTCTTTCTAAAGTAATCCCAGTAAAAAGATGCACCAGATAAATTCAAATATGGTCTGGTTGCACTTGCTGACCTTGGAGGTCTTTTCCAACCTTGATGAATCCACGATTAATTGAGTGCCCAGCAGGCACTGAGAGCTTTTCCTGGCTGTAGTTCCATCACCCCAGTCTGGGATTCGAGGGGCTGTTCCCATCCTGCCCATGGCAGCACAGCTGATGGTGGGGAGCACCCTGGGCACCCCTGAGCCCTGCACAGCCCTGGGCAGCCCAGCACAGAAATGCTCCTGGGCAGAATGCCCCGTTCACCCACCAGGAATGCACTTGGCTGAGTGAAGGCTGCTCCAGGCTGAGCAGAGTGCAGCTCCAGAGCCGGGCAGAGCCAAATCCCCGGTGCCCGAGCGCCCGGAGCTGCCGCCGCTGTCGCTGCACGCCTGACCTGAGCTCCTCCTGACACCAAGCCGTGGGCAAGGACCAAAGTGTCCAAGATCCAAGCCTGGATCACTGCAGCAAGAACTGCTTTTACAGCTGCTGGCAAAAGAGATTGGGACTTGGGCAGAGCTCTGCTCTGCAGCCCAGCACGGGGGAGAGGGAAGGCAGAGAGGAGGGACAGCAGAGCTCAGGCTGCACAGTTATCCCGGCCTATCCACGTTCCTGACTGCTCAGGGCCACCTCACCCCCTAAAGGACACGGGGTGTTTTAAACATAAATAACTAACACTGCTGCAGCTTCTGCAGAGTCCACACTGCTGCAAGCCCTCGCAGTGAACTCACAGAGCTCCCTGTGATCAGTGCAACACACGGCAACCCCTCACATTTAACATCCACACCTCAACGCCCACACCTGCCCTTCCAGGTACAACTCTCTCATTCCAGCCCATTCGCTTGAGTGCTGCACTCAATGACTCCTGTGGGGTCCCTTCCAGCTCAGAACAGTTTGTGGAATTCTGTGGAGCACCAGGAAATGTGCCTGGTGTTACAGCACAGGTAAGGGGGAACCTTGCTCAGGTTGTCTTCTCCCACCCCGGTGGTTGTGCTGGCCAAATTAGAACAAAACCCAAAGGAAGTCCAGCTGCTGCTGCAGGAAGCTCAGGTTTCTTCTTGCCACGTGGTTTTCCAGTTATTCAGAAATGCTTCCTCTCCTGAAAGAACCCAGGGCAAGGCCTGGGTAGCAGGAAAAGTGATCTGCAAGAGATCCTGCCTTGGACTAAAGACACCCAGAGCCTGCCTCAAGTTCCCCAAGAGATGTTGCTCAGGAAGGTGAAGAGCCTGCCCAGCTTTTACTTACTCAAAACAAGGACTTTTACATGAAAAAAGCAAAATTTAGCAAAAGCATCTGGCCTTCAAAAATTTTCCTTAAAAAGCAGAGTCAGATCTTTTATATTTTAGTGGATAGATGTTAATTCTGATGACCTACTGCAAATGTTTCAATAAAGATATTATTAGATACATCACTATTCAATGGTTTTCACCTCACAACTGCTGTATAATTATGTTAATATAATTTATATTTTCTGCTTTGGAGTCTCTGTCTCATTTTAGCCATTTTGTTCTGCCAAGACCAGCACTGAGGAACCCCTGTGCTCTGCCAAGTTCTCAGAGATCCTGAAGGATCATCATTTACACACCCTGCCTCAATAGCTGCACCAGCATCATGGGATCAGTGTCACTCCTTAAGCTCAGCAGATGTAAATGACACTTGAGCAGGTCCAAATCTCAGCTCCAGATTAGCTGCCTTCGTGTAACACGCTGTGCCATGGGCCTTATCAGCACTTTCTTAGGGAAATCACAAACTACCTTCAATTACCAGGATCATCCCCCTGACATGGATCATACCCAAGTTTGACTCCTGCATTATAAACTGCTTAAAAATTACATAATGACTTTTGTCAGAAAAGAAAGGATAGAATTTCTACATTGTACATGTAACTAAGCTTCCATCAATTTAGTTAATAACCTTCTCATGCTTAATATCATCAGAGGTAATGAGGGACCAAGAGGAAAACCTCAGAGCCCTACAAATATCATAATATTCATCATTATAGGAGAAAATATCAGAAGATAATATTGGAAAGCTTCATATTTATGACAATACTTATAGGTGAAGGCAAGCCAGTAATTCAGTTCTTATTTTTCATGTCATTAAGCTCTGAATACAATTCTCATTTCCGCTCTTCAGATGCCCAGCTTGCTGATTCAAGGCTTGGCTTTGATAGTGCTGGCTGTTGGCTGAATCCTTTACATTTCCCACTTGTGTTGGCCACAGTTTAAGAAGCAGCAGAAGCTTTGTCCAGCAGAATCCAGCTGATCCATTCCCAAGGAAAAGCAAATTGAATCGGCAGCTGTGCCGCGCGCAGGGTTAAACCCGGCTTATCCCCGACCTCCCAAGTGTAACACCACCATCCTTGGAAGAGATGACCCAGTTTGTCAGAGACATTCCTGGCTCTTTGCCAGCCCCTCATCCCCCCCACCGTGCAGCAATTTCTGTGGTGCAAATCCGGTGTCTATAATTGGGATGAATAATTGCACGGAGTGGAGTGTCCTCATCCTGCCTTTTCTCAGAGCCTGCGGTTTTACATCGGCTTTTATGCACCACTTGAAAATGTTTCAGGCCATGTGCACAAAATCTATACACAAATTTCAGATTATTAATCAAAGACATGTTAAAAAATGGAAGAACTTGAGTTTTTATACATAACTTGCATTTATGCTGCAGCTGAGCACTGTGTGTGGTGTTCATTTCAATTGCAGTGAAATCATACTAAATCAACATTCAGTTCTGATACTTGGTGATGAAATGGGCTGAGGTAATGGTTATTTTTAGCAAACAAACCTCTCACAAACAAATTTTCCATGCCTTTGATCCCTGTCACTGCTTCTCTGTTATATTTTGGGAGGAATGGGAAGATCAGAAGCACTCAAAGTATTCAAGGTATGAACAAATCCCAGATTCTTCTGTACAAGCACAGTGTCATTTTGCCTTATTCACCTTTCCCAGTGACATCAGCATGGAGCTCTCTGAACCCTGACACTAATTAATATCTGTTTTCTTCAGAGGATTATCAATTCTCACCTCAGGATCTTATTTGTATGTATTCACAGTGATTTCTGAATGATTCCACTACGTTTCTCCTTTCACATCTGCACCATTTAATATCATTCTTGCTTTTCAGTTTACTATTTCTTGATTTCCCACATACAAATTCTGAAGGACTGCATTTTCCCTTAACACACCAAGATATTTAACCCCATTAAAGCTGTTCCAGATTACACATTCCTTCAGCCTGAGGTTTCAGCTTCAGGTTTCACCAGTGCCACAAAGCTGCCCCCTGTCAGTGACAGCCTTGCTGAGCTTAGGCTGGACTCTGCTGCTCACACAGCTGCACAAACTCAGGCACAAAGGTGTCTGAAGGCACCCTTCCACTCCTCCTGCTCACACACTGAGAGGTTTCTGTAGCACAGACTTTTTGCATCTTTCCCCACTGGGTAAGCATGAAGTGTGCTCTGATGGAAGCAGAGGTGATAAATATTTCATAGCACCCCATTGTGAGAAGAGCTGTAACTGCTTCAGCATGCAGCCAAAATTACAGATATTCTGTTAATATCTGTTTCTAAATCAAACTCAATAAAAAAGATTAAAATAACCAAAAAGAGATATCAATGCAATGAACAGTCTAGCAAAGAAATTACACTCTGAGCCCCAGTCATTTCACTCTGATTTCCAAAGCAACCCTCAAACCGCACAAACTGACAACTCACCCTTCTGGAGATTTTGAGCTGATCTGTGTAATAGTGAATGTTCAGCCTCAAAGTAAACTGATTTTTAGATTTTTAATTATAATTCTTACTTGATCTATCAATATCTTTCTCACATTGGACCAGAAAGTTTTGCAGTTCCTGTTCAGGCAGGATGCATCCCTTGCCTGCAGGCTCACAGCAGACAATAAGCCAGGGTGATTTTTGGCACTGGGGTGCAGCACATCATGGAATAAAAAATCACCAGACCTGTCCCCCTTTGCATTCCTTCAGCACTGCTGGGGGACAAGGAGGTGCTGCTCCCTGCCAGAAGGCCAGGCCATGCTATGGATGGTATTACCAAAGCACAAATACCTTGAGATATGTATTTAAATATCTCAGAGCAGGAGGAAACACTTCAGTCAGTATTCCAAACGGCACAGAGCAGGAGCAAGCCCAGTGTTCCCTGCAGAGATTCCAGCTGGGCTCAGCTTTCCCTTTTTCCCACCCTCTGGCTCGCTCAGACACGCTCCCACTGACCTGACTGAACCACAGTCTTCCCCTCTCCTGGGAGAGCAGAGAAGGTGGAGAGAACTCCCCAAGTTCCTCCTGGAATAGTTTTAAAACAAAAGGCAGAGTTGAGGTGGCCTCTGACTGCAGGAGCTTTAGTCCCTGCTGGGTTCTCTGTGGAGCTGCTCTGAGGTGTTTGCTCTCAGCTCACGTTGGTTCTCCTGAGCCTGGCACGCCCCAGGCCAAGCAGGAGCTTTCTTTAGGGTTCTACTGAGGTGTCTCCCCACAAAATCCAGCTGTGCTCCCATGCCCAGAACAGCTGGGGGCAGCTGTCACACCTCAGCCCCTCCACCTGCCCAAAGTGTGCCTGCACTCCTGTGACAGAGTTTTATTCAAACAGCCAATGTGCAAACAGTGATATTCTAACACTCTCCACCCATTTCAGGTCCTTCCTGTCCCCAGATACAACAGTCTGAGAGCCCAGACACCCCAAAGTGAAGCTCAGGGCAGACAAGCCCCCCTCTCCCCCAAAAGGGAACTTCACCACTAAGACCCAGCTTATCCAGAGCCACCATGTGTGTGACAAATGCTCTCCAGAGCACACCAGTACCCTTAAATCTACCACAAACACAACCCATTCTGTTCAGACCTCAGATGACACAGAACTGAAGCACAGTCAGTACACTCAAGAGCTAAGAACAGAAGTGAAGATATTTTCTTCCTTTTAATTCTCCTTAACTGATACCTTCACTGCTATTTTTGAATCCTGGTTATCCTTCCACCACCCTGTGAAAAACCAAAAATCAATGCATTCATAAAGGCCACTGCACATGCACCAGGACAGAACACAGAACTCTGTCATTTCCAAAGACACTCTCATGAGTTACTGAGAGGGTGATATTTCTAGACTAATATTCATTAACAATCAGGATTACATCATCCTACAGCAGAGCTGAGCAGACGAGAAAGAGTTTCTGCAGAACTGCACAGCTTTTATTTCTCTCCTGATACAGTTGAAGGACAGGGCAAGGGAAACAAAACATCAAGGCAGAAGATTAAAAATTCAGAGCATCTAAAAGACAATCTTCTCCATTTTAACCAAAATACAGATTAGCCTTTTTCCTGTTTGAATGGCAGTAATTGCCATAATGACACTTCTACAACTCTATCCATTCTATTTCTGTTCCCTCACACTCTTTATTCAAAAGAATTTCACAGTTGAAATCAAAGTTTCTAGGAAGCAGAAGCTTTTTCTCCTTTGCTTGTCTTACCCCTGTGTGTACACAGCAGTTTCAGAGTGCCAAGTCCTCAACCTGCCCCCTTGAAGGAGGCTGATTCTGCACTCAGACTGGGAAAGTGCATCCACAAATCTGGACACAGATATTGTCAAACAGATTGTATTAACCAAAGGGTTTTATGCATTTTATTGATTAAAAAGAGAAATGAGTAAAGGTCTAAGGAAAAAGAATTCTCTAATTACCATCCTTAATGGTCTCTCACCAGGAAAGATATTGAGAGGCTGGAGCAGAGAAGTGAATGGAGCTTGGGCAGGGTCTGGAGCACCAGGAGAGGCTGAGGGAGCTGGGGGGATCAGCCTGGAGAAAAGGAGGCTCAGGGGGGACCTTGTGGCTCTGCACAACTCCTGACAGGAGGGGACAGCCGGGGGGTCAGGCTCTGCTCCCAGGGAACAGGGACAGGAGGAGAGGGAACAGCCTCAGGCTGGGCCAGGGGAGGCCCAGGAAATCAGGAAATACTGGATATCAGGAAATATCTTATCACTGAAAGGGTTGTAAAGCATTGGAGCAGGTTGCCCAGGGCAGGGGTGGAATCACCATCCCTAGAAGTGTTCATAAAACGTGTGGATGTGGCCCTTGGGGACATGGTTTAGTGGTGACCGTGCTGACACTGGGCTGACTCAATGATCTTAAAGGTATTTTCAAACCTCAGGGACTCTATGGTTAATGAACAGGCACCTCCACATCCTTGAAAGTTTAAAATTTATGCCTTCTACAGCTGGGGTCAGGTATCCAGCATGACCACAATGCCCAACAACCCCCCAGTGCTGCAGGCAGGGACCAGCATCGCCCCACTCCCAGCCCTGTGCTCCCACTGCCAAATCTGAGCTGGCTCTGGCACACACCTGACCCCCAGAACAGCACTGAACTCTAAAAACAACCTCAGCAGCAGGATTTGTACCTGTCAGGTCACACACCCGACCTGGATTATCTTACAACTGGATACTGGCTGTGGGAAGGAGGGGGAAAACCTCCCCATTTAGCTGTGAAACTCTACCCAGGACACTCCCCAGCTCCTTGGTGAGATGCTCTAAAAGGTCATTAAGTGATAGAGGGGATGAGCCTTCCAGAAAAGAGCTGCATTTTAAAAAGCCTCCTCAAGAGAATTAGCACTTAGGAAAGAAAGAAGATGGATTGAGCACAACAGGATTTGTACAAAAGTACCAGTTCCTCTGGGAGATGCTCTTATAAAGTACTCTCTGTACAAAAAGAAGTAAGTCATTGTACCAAACTCTGCAGAAATTGGAAGTGCTTCAGCTGAGACCCAGAAAAAGTCTGAGAGAAAACACCATTAATGTGATGGTCCTTAGACTCCTACTTATACAGGAAACACTGTCACATTCACACTTTCTGAAGACTAAAGAACTGAAAATAATAAAGGAAAAAGTTCTGGTTACAGCAGGAGAAAGCAAGGAAAGGCTCTTCCATTGTCTAGACCTCACTGCCCACAGAGCAGGCACTGCCAGGGCACTGCCAGGACATTGCCAGGACACTGCCAGAACACTGCCAGCTCCACAGACTGGGGAGTTTGGTTACCATGACAGACACTTCCCCAGTTGCTGCTTCTGACAGAGCTGGAGTGACAGAGCAGCCCCTGAAGAACCTGGCTGTACCATCCCACCTGAGGCTGGATTTGCTGGCAAGGAGGCAGAACTGACACCTCTTCAGAGACAAGATGGAAATGCTGAGCACTAACTAAACCAAAGAGTTGGGCAGTTTTTTTTTTTTTTCCCCCTGACAAAAGCTGTTTCATACCTTGTGTTATGGCTTGGAGTTGTCTGTGAATTGAGGACATCAAACTGGCTGATTCTGCTACTGTGAAATGACATTTATGTGGATAAAATTAGACTTGATCAAGTTCCTACAGCCAGCACTGACTAATTCTGTGCATGTGCAGAGAAGCTGCAGAGGGAGTTACTCTCTTAAGCATTCAGTTGCCTCAATTAACAACCACTTCACTTTCAATATAAAAAACACATTCTGAGCTCCAAACTCTCAGTCCTGATCAACTCAGATGTTGTGTTTGAGCCAAGAGCACGATTCCTACATGGGCATCACCTCACACTGGATTACAACCTTGACCTGCTTTTAAAGATAGACATCAACTTTACCCCAACTGAAACACTGCACCTGCAGAGAATGTTTGTATCAAAGGAAAAAGGGAAAAATCCCACCCAAGGTAAATAGAACTGACATTCCAAAAAATGTTCTTTTCATTGTTTCACTTGATGCATTAGATACTTAAAGGGAAATGTACTTACTGCTCTTTTTCTGGAACAACCTGTAATCCAAGGCACAGTAAGGTTTCCTGAAATCTGTAGAGGGGAAGGAGGAAACAGAACAGAAAACAAGAGCAGTTTAAATTGCTGTGAGAGCCAATACTGAGACTTCAGCACTGTGCATTCAATTCTGACACCAATGTCTGCAAACAGGTTCAGACTGAAAACCAAAGTGACACTCACCTTTACTGCCAAGAATAAAACATTGTTTCTTTGGGTGAGGGTAAGATAACACAGTGACAACTTGGGTGTTTCTGTACTTTTGGTACCCCAAAACTTGTATTTCACAACAGCAGTTTCCCTTTCCATCTGGCAGGATGAGCAGACTGGAGTCAGACATGGGCTGAGGACTGAGCTGCCCTCACATCTTTTGCAATTACTTCACTTCAACTTCCAGAAGAAATGCTCTCATGTTTGTCACTGAGCTGTTCATTGTCTCATGTCAAAGATTTGAGTACCAGCAGAAAAATTAGGGATATCAGGATGGAGAAGGAAGGAGAAGAGCTGTGAAGGCAAAGGAGAGCTGCTTCCATTCCTATTGCTTCTCCATCATTCCCAGAGGTCAGACGCTTTCCTAAATAAACATCTCAGTGCTTTCCCTGATCATCTGAGGTGTGCCATAGCCTGGAATATTTTAGGCACATTTAAAATTCCATGTTCACCTTCTGCTGCAGACAAGCAATGCTTGAGAGACCAAACACAGCTCTGGAGAGATCAATCACCTGTGAGGAAAAAACCTGTGCATTTCTGCTGACTGACCCAAACTGCTCTGAGAGTTTCTGTATTTGCAGAGTTCCTCACTGATGGCTCTTGCACCGTGAGCACAGCAAGCACAGCAGCCCTGCTACAGGTGGCTGCTGTACAAGCACATAAAACACTTTTATTCTTCAAGCTTTTTTTATTCTTCAAGCTTTTAGCTGGAAGCACTTGGAGGTCACCCAAAGTCAGACACTTTCTCATCACAAAGCATAAAGAGGGTTGAGGGGGGCTGGAAAGGAGCATCCTCTCCTCCAAGGGCCAGCCTGCATCAGGGTTTGAGCCTAAAATATTAATTTCTTCACTGCACACACACATTTTAGAAATTCTGTTTGTCTGTTACAACCCTGTATCCCACACAACAGCTTCACACCACAGAATCCACTGCAAAGGCACCCTGAGGAACAACCCAAGTGCCTCCTCTTCACTCATTTAAACGGGGCTATGAAAAAAAAAGTGATTTTCTATAGGAATAAAGCAACATCTACATAGCAGGGAGTTAAGGGTTGCTGGGAAGACAAATACACACTGACAGGGATGAGGCCAAAACCAGCCAAGCTCATCTCAAGAGAACCCCCTGGAAGACAAGGTGCATGGCACTGCTCTGAGCTGCCCTTGTCAAACAGGCACCAGGGCTGGGCTTGGGAACAGAGTAAATAAAAATACAGGTTCTTGTCCCTTAGGGATGGGGGAAGAAACCAAGACTAAATCCCAGCTCAGCCTGGAGGACAGCACAGGTAACCTCTCTACTTCAACACACTCAAAGTCAAACTAAGATAAGCAAGTAGGCTGAAGAATTTGTTTACTGAAACTGCTCAGGCATTAAAATTGATCACTTAATTAAATTTAGTCTTAAGTTACACTAACATGAATTTGATTAATTGAACCAGTAAGGAAGCTATAACTAATTGCTAATTAGATACCCCACCAATATATGACAGTAATTGCTTCATCAAAACATGAATCACACAGTCCTGACTTTGAAGAAGCATCTGCTTGGATGTTCAACTACTCCAATAATCATTTAGCTCAGGTTTAATCTATTTTTAAATTCAAGAAGATTTCCTCAAGTTTAAGGATTTTCATCTCTGTGCTGATGGATAAATTAGCTAAACATGGGCAATAAAATTAACATAAACTGACTTCAAAAAAATGAAATGTCATCCTGTACAAACCTAAAAGGATTCAAAACAGCACCTTAGAAAGTCTCTAATACCCCGAAGTGTCACCTCAGGGGTTCACAGGGTGCAAGCTCACAGCAATAAAGGAATTAACTGCATCCTGCTCAGCTTTTCCAAGGTTTAAAACTCTGGAATGACAAGGGATATATGACAGAAGCTCCCTCCATCCACAGTCCAAATCCAAAGAGCAGGGTGTCTGAGACAGGCATGGAGGTCAGCTGGGGTACAGATGAATTCCTCACTTATCAGAAAAGCAGGTGTGTTGTTACAACAGGGAAAAGTAAAAAAAAAAACCTAAAACAAAGTTCCAGAGATCTTATTCTGATCCATAAAACACCACACGAGGAGATAAAACATCATCTACCATGAACTGTTCTAGCTCTTCAAAAAGACTCAATTCCTACCCCATAAAATCCCAAAACAGTTATTCTTAATTTCATTTTTAAAAAAATTAAAATAGAAGGAATCAACCTCTCTGATGCTTTTTCAAGAGTGAAATAAAGAAATATGAGCATACAGCTGATGGAGGCATCAGTTATGGATTTCCCTTCATGAAACTTTATAAAATGTCCTCAACTCAATCATAAGCACTTTTACCAACCCTTTCTTGGACTGATCTGCACATTTACAGCTTTTCTTCTCCTGTGAAACTGGGATGGCAAAAGTAAACAGCATTTCAGGAATTCTGTAACCAAGTAAGAAAAGTAACAGCAAACACTGAGAGACTGTGTGAGAGTGAAGGAGAGAACAGCCCATCTGACGTGCTATCTACTCCCCAAATTTACCCTCTGTCCATCAAACTTCGGTTTACCCAGAAAAGTAATAATTCAGGTGAAAAGTGGCTTGGACTCAGAAGCTTTCCTTCAAATGGTCACAGGAGATAGGAACAAGTCAGGAAAAAAAGAAAAGAAAAACTAAAAATGATTCACAAAGTCTCGTTCTCTATCCTGGTGAGGAAAGCACAGGAAAAGCTGATAGGCTGTCGACATGGTTTATTTTCAGGATAAAATAAAAAGGCAATAACAGGCAAATGCATGCAGGTGACACACACAGAATCACATTCTGTCAGCCTTAAAAGACTTTTACCTGTGTCTCCAGGCTATGTCATGCCAGATGGTGTAAAAATCCATGAAAAATACCAATCTGGATGTTTCCTGCACAAGTATCTCTCCCCTTGTAATATCAAAAACTAAAAAAAAATGTGTCAAATGCTGCAGTTTCTCCTAAACATCTTTTAGTTCTTCAATGATCTGCATTTAATTTCCCCTCAGTATCACTAAAGGGATTTTAGTACAGGAAAAGGAATAAAGAGATTGAATGTAAAACTGATTATTTGTATTAGATGCTGTGGGAAAGGAAGCTGAGTTAACTCCATCACAGGGGATCCTAATCCCTGACAAAACACAGACACTGCCACCTGCACAGGGGGTACAGGATTCCAAGCTGACATCAGTGGGGCGAGCAAATGCACAAATGTCAGCAGGAAACCATGTCTTGTGCCACGTGTGATGTGTGTCCACAGGGGAACACCTGAGGAATGGCCATGGCACGTGCTGGAAAGCCAGGGCAGGACAACACAGGCTTGAGCAACCACCAGCTCATGGGTATGACCCTCCTGCAGCCAAAATTTAGCCCTGGAATCCATGAATCCTCACTGATCTTCAATATATGGCTACCAGGGGCTGGCTGGACAGGCAGAAGTGCTACCAGACTGCAGTGCTGCCTGCACTGGGTTTGAGAAGGAATTATCTCCACTGGAAGGCAGAAAAGGAGCACAGCCTGCAGAAAGGTGAAGCTATTGCTTAATAGCCACCAACAGCATTTACTACAACCTCAACTCTGAGGTTTGAAGACAGAGATAAACTGATGGATTACCTGGTAATTATTTTGGTTTTGTGACAGCCTCAGTTGACTTGAAGATGTAAAATGAGGAGAAAAGGTACTTCTGGCTGCGTTGGCAGGGTTATAAATCGTGCTGGACGTTGTGTGCAATGAGGTCCGTGCAGGCAGGTGGAACTCTCTGCTGTGGTACAGGAGATTGTCAGGCCCATCCCTGGCACTGCCCAGCTGTGCCCCACAGCCCCCGCTGCGGCCCGGCCCGGCCGCGCTTTGGTTGTCCCCGCGGCCGGAGCCGCTGCCCTCACAGTATCTGGAGTAGCTCTGGATCTGCGCCCCCATGGAGGCCAGCTCCTCCTCGCGGGCGTACTCGTCATCCACGTCGCCCGTCTCCATGGCGATGGACAGGCAGCTGCCCTCCAGCGAGGGGGGTTTCTGCGCCGCGCTCCCCGCCACCAGGCGCTGCGGCTGGTCCGTGACGGCCAGCGAGAACACCTCGCGGATCTCCAGGTTCTGGGTGCCGCACGCGGGGTCCCTGGGGTGAGCCCTCGGCCCGGGGGGCGCGTGCGACGCCAGGGCCGCGGGCTCGGCTTTGTGCAAGCGCTGGCACGCCAAGGGCTCGGCCCTGCAGGGCCTGTGGCAAATCATGGGTTTCTGAGGTAACACCAGCTCCGCCGTCTGCACCGAGGAGCTGCCGTAGCTTTTCTTCGTGTGACTGTAGATGGAGTTTGCAGAATTGAGCACGCTCGTTTGCCTGGATAGAATAATGGTCTTTTCCCCCACCAAGAGGGAAGCGTTTTTACAGTGGGGTACCTGCCGTCCCAGAGGGATGTGCTGCTGCTGGAAGTCTGCGTCGCTCTTGCCCGGGAGCCGCGGGATGGAGGTTTTGTGCAGCTCTGCCACGGAGGCGTTCGTGTGCTTGGCGGCTCCCGGGCGGCCCGAGGAGCTGGCAGGGCTGTAGATACCAGTCACTATCACGTCGTTGTTAGAAGAGGTCCAAGAGGACTGCTGGCTTTGGGATCGAGCAATATTTACCACATTTCTCACTGCTGCTTCCGGGGGCACGGAGGGAGTGGCAGGGGCAGTCCCTGGGGGGGTCCCCCCAGATTCCACGGCGATCTTGCTGCTCATCTTCCGCCGCTTGTTGCCGACCCACGTCTGCAAACAACGACAGCAACCACACCAAACACAAAACGAGGTGTCAAAGAGGCAGGAAAAAATTAGCAATTCCATTTTTAAGCAGGTCTGATGACATGTTAAGTGCTCGAGTTGAGATGTAAGTTTACAAATATGTAAATCATGTACTGATTATGCAGTGAACATGACAGGGTGGAAATACAGGCCTGAACAATACAGGGTAGAGATCCAGGCCTCTCCTCTTTGGGATCCACAACTCATACACAGGACAACCCCAGCCTCAATTCCAAAGCCCTAGATTCTCAAAAATCTTGAGACTCTTGTGCCTCCTGTCCTGAAGTTATCCTCAAGATTTATTTCATTGACACCACCATGACTAATTTCATACAGCAAAAAAAACCATCCCTGCCATACACTATTCTACTCTACTAATTTTTTGTCATATTTCACAAAATGTCTAATTTGAGGCACAGTTTGTAATGTGCAGTAAAATGTCAGTTACTGGTCAGTTTTGCCTCTGCTGAGAGTCCCATTCTCCTGACCAATTGTATTTAGGGAATTCATGTGCCTATTACAATCCTATCTGCAAGTGCCAGCTGCAACTCAAGTATCATTTTGCAAAGAACTAATCACTGACCAAGAGTTTCATAGGATAAACACAGAAAAAGGGGCATTAGGAATAGCAGAAATGATGGGTGTAAAGAAGAGAAAGGTAAGATCATCCTAAAATGTGACATATGCAGGACAGACATTGGATCTGTTTCCACTGCACTTCCTAAGTAAGAAAAAGCTGCAAATCAGGGCTCAGGAAGGGAAGAAAACAGAAGGAATGATACTGGATTGCAGGAGGGGAAATGGAGAGGGAAAGGAAACATGAAGATGGAGAGAACTGCAAGGAGAGGGGAGCTGGGCTGCCTCCTCTAGGACATTCAATCAGCACAAAAATAGCAAACCAGCCCGGGCTGCACCATCAGCATCCAGATTCCTGTTACAACTGCCTGCCTGCCCCAGGAGCCTGAGCCCCTGGCTGACTTTCACAGCTTCTACCACCTCCAGCTGAGAAAGAAACTTTTAATGTTTCCAGAGTGTTCTGAGGGAGGGATCGAGGTAAGAATTTGGGAGCAGGGTTGTTATTGTCCATGTGCCACTGTTAAACCAATTAAAAACCAACCTAGACTGGTCCCACTTGCTCCTCCTCAGTGTCCAGTGTCACAGCAGCTCCTTGGAGCTCCACTAGCCTTTGTTATTTTTCCATCTAATGCCTCAGGATTTCTATTTCTGCGCTCTCTCGGACAACAGCCATTTTGTTGTCTAGTGTTTCACAAAGGGATTATTATTTCCCTTTCTGTGGAATTCATAGACTCTGGAAGAGCTCCTGTTAGCACTGGGACATTCTTGTTTTATAGGAAAAGAATGTCCTCACTGTGAATAACCACAAAGGACCACAATATTTATGATTGTGATGTAGAATACAAATGTGACAGACTGCATCAAAATAAATAGTTCCACAATTGTTACCCCCAAATATATTAATTTATAGAAACTTATTTAGCTTAAAAATAGTTTCTTAATAACATGACCTTGCTCTGATACATCACACAAAGCTTCTATAGGGCAAGCCACCCTATAATTTAATAAATAATAACTTAAAAAATCCCAACTAAAGACAACAAAAATCACTCCTTGTGCAACCCAGGCCCCTGCTAAATTCAACAGTCATGTGAAGGTATTTCAGTGAAAACAAACTCTAAATAGGCTTGCTGGGTAAAAATGAATGTCACACACACACACATTGAAGTCTGATTTAAGACAAGGATAAAGTTAGAGACTCCAGACCTCTCTATATTTTATGTAAGGCAATGAATGTGTATGCTTAACAAATTTGGAAGGCCTCAGTACTTACCCTGACCACGCTGAAATCCAGTTTAGTTTCTTGTGCACACTGTAATATGAGCTGAAAGCAATTTTTACTTTGATTTGTCATTCCATTTTCATAGTAACGCTGTAATATCCTTTGTTGTTCTACAGTGAATACAGAACGCAGATTCATCTGAAAGGAAAAGGAGATACTCTGAAAGCTGGGGTGGAAACTGTAACTGTGCAGGAGGCACAGGCTCTCATTTGTGCCTGTGATATTACTGAGGACTGACATGTTTTCTCTACAGAACCTTTTACCAACACTGCCTGACTTTCCAAGAAAGCCTCTTGCAATCAGTGTTGTGACAAGCTGAACAGGTGAACTGGATGTTTGGAATAACAGTGACTGCTTTGCACAAATAAATAAATATTACATGGTATTGCTAAGCCCATGAGGCTCTAGTTTGACAGAGAAAGTTTCTTCCTTAAAAATGTAAATGAAATAAAGGCATTAGGCTAAACAAAGAAACATCTGCAGCTCCAACATCAGCAGGTCTGTTTCCCATCCCTAACAACAAAAAACAGGTACAATTTGGTATAAAATCAAGGTGACTGTCTGACATGAGTAGAGTTTCCACTGTCTCCAACTTCAGCAATTCCTGCACTCCACAAGAGCCTGTCCTTCTGCTGTGTCAGTACTGGCACTTCCAGCTGCAAAGTCACAAGGATCAAGGACCAAAGACCATTTGGGGAAAATCCCCAAGGAAGGGCTTTGGGCAGCCCTGGTGCTGCCCACCCAGTTTAACAGAGGAGGGACACCCATGTCCCAGGCTGAGAAAGGCTCTGCTGCTGTGACACCTCCTGAAGGCTGGAAATCTGATTTTTAAGAACATGTAAGGGTTGTTTTCCTGGGATATAACCAATACTGGCTTCGCTGGCTTGGGATGTGTTCCTGCTCCTTGGTGGTGCTCTGTAACAACAGCAGTGGTGAATAATGATGGGCAGAACATTTCAAAGTTCCAGCAGCAAAACCCCCATTTCAATGTTACAGCCTATTTTATCCAGTTTTCCTAGTTACTGACCCCCACTTCAATGTTACAGCCTATTTTATCCAGTTTTCCTAGTTACTGTGTTTAATTCTAATTGGTTAGGAACTTTGACACTCAATTCATTGGTTAGAAGGTGCTTGTGTGTGCACAAGCTGAGGCTTTCTCTTTACACAGGTGTTTACATTTTTTCTTTGTGGATTCTCACAGGATATACTTCTTATTTTTCACAGATGCAAACTGCCTTCTTGCAAGAACAGATTGTTATGCAAACTGATTCCCATTCTTATGATTCTTTCTCATGGGAACTTAACAGGCTAGCTGTTAATTCAGCTGAAATAGCAAGGGCTGATTTTACAAGGCCTTTCTTTTATAAGGTTCTACCTCTACACAACAGTGCTCAGGAAGCCAACCAGGGTAAGGGGCCCAGGTTCCTCCCAGGCCAGCAGCAACTTCTCAGGTCAGTTTCCAGCACTGGGTCCTCTTGAGTTTCACTGTGAGGAAACAAGAGGTGGCCTGGACAGGGCAGCACTTTGATGAACACATTAAACCAGACACTGCTTTATGTGTGAAAATTCATGCCCTGGCTTGGGAAAGGCAAACACTATTGCCAATATTATCAATATTACCAAGCGCACAACGTGTACTAATGGCAAACTGGAGCTTGATGCTCTTGTTACACAATCTACACAGGCAAAGAATGCAATCCTCTGGGCAGATATCAGAAAAGAAGAGCTTCATCATCCCAGATTTCCAAGGCAAGGGCGTTTTTTTTGTCCCAGACAGGAGGCCACAAGCTGAGACAACACAAGTGCCAGCCAGGAACAGCCTGCATCCAACGTGGTGCCTTGGGAAGCAAAAACGTCACCAGCCACAAGTTATTTTAATGCAGTATGTGCATCATAAGAATACAGAATGAACCAAAGGAGAAGAAACCTGCCAACATCCAGTAGGAAAATAAAGGGGATGAGGGAACCCTTTGTAGCCAAGCATTTTTGAAAATTCTGAATGGAAAGGAGGAGAGGGGAGATCTACCTAATCTTTGCACAAGAGCTGCTTCTAATATAAAGCAAATAAAATTATTAGGGGCTCAAAAGCATAAGCAGACATCCAACTGCTTTCACTTTATTCTCCAAGATGATTATACTAGTAATGGTAATGGATGTTAAGAGTTCAACAGGCCTGTATAAAGAAAGAGACTGATATCTAGAATTTCAGTAAAATGCTTGACTGCAGAGTTTACTTTCCTCTCTATGTCAACAGGCAATAGAAAAATCAGTAATTACCAATTTGTAAAAATTACCATTTCTTTGAAATAACAGATAAAATAGGAGATGATTTTTCAATCACATTTTTTACCTCTGTTCTCAACTCTTATTCCCACTCTCAACCCAGTGCATTATTAAACACAGCACCAGCTGCATTACAAGTCAGCTGTGCCCAAGTTCTGCCTCCCCCGAACATTTATTCAGTTGCAATCAGAGCTGGCCAAAGGAGACTCTTGCTCTGAATAATCTACTCCTTAAAGAAATTTATAGCAAGCAACAGAGGAGACAATTATTAGTCCATTAACAAATCAATAAAGTTCATAATAATCTACTTTCTCATGTTGAGAACTGCCTTCAGATCTCCCATGTGGATACACAATGACAAGGCCACCAAATGATTTACATCACTTTGAATGAACATAGAAGAGTTAATTTTGCGATTCTTTTTCCTCCTGCACGATTGGCAGGCCCCAGCTTCCACTCCTGCCTGCTCCTCTTTCAGTACCAGTGCTCCTGGATTATTTAGTGGAGCTCAGTTCCCACAAATGACCTCATCAGAAACAGTTCTGAAAGTTCCATCTTGCCAGATCCTGCTGAAGTCACCCCAAAGCTCCAGCATTTCCACACTCAGGCCCATCACAGCACGCTCTGCAAACAGCTCACCAACTGCAGTGAAGACTCTTCCAATGGCAAGATCAATTTTTAAAACCAGACCTGCTGACCTGCGAGGGAAGACCCATGTCAGGTCCTTGACAAGTTTTTTAATTATGTGGATTTCTGTATCCAAGGTCACTTCTGTGTTAAAATACTTTCATTGTTGCATTTGACATCTGTAATTTAGATAAAGACAGGGTGGAGCATTTTGATTAAATCACTTGAACTTCAGATAAACCCTTGAGTATTGCATGACAGGCTTGGCCCAGCAAAGCTCAGGAGAGGTCATGCTCTGCTTTAATAACTCATTTTTTACAGTGGATTTTAATCACTCATGAACTACACCTGCCAACCAAAGTCCTGCTAAGATTACTTGGTAGCCTCTGCCTTGAATCCACTAAAGCAGAACTCAAAGGTTTCCTGCAGAGACCATTAGAAACTGATTTAAATAAACAATTACAGGATCCTCTAGCCACAGAGTTATGAACTGAGTCATAACTGCAGTTTACATTACAACATCTTCAAACAAGCAGGTGAGATTTATTAAAGCTTTTTGTGTCATGGATATACCAAATCTTCAGTCAACAGACAGTTCTGTACCATCTTCCACTGATTTCACACCAGTGTGAAGGACATCTGGCAACATTCTGTCTCTGGCAGGTTCAAAGCTCTCTCATTAATATTATGTCACCTGTAAAGTGCAGATGGAAATCAGTTTGCCATCAGCAGTTCTTAAGCGCTGATTCTGAGTACCTAAAGCAAGTAGCCTCTGTTGAATAAACCAATTGATAGATGTTTGGGAGCTCCCCTGGAAAACCACGGAGTCCAGAGCCATCCCATTAATCCAGGAAGAGCTGGATTATCTCTGCATATCCCACCTGCACAGGCAACAAGTTCTGCTCACTGGCTGTGCCTGTCACACCTGGGAATTTACCTACACAGAGTATTCACACAGCTGTGAGAACATAATGGTACTGTCTCTGAGACAAATTAATGCAGGATACATTCATCAAAGGACTACACTGATTATTTTTGGGGGAAGTATTGCATGTTCAGCATCAGTTTTCATAATTAGAACAAGAGATGAGCTCTTACATTTTCTTTAACACGGGAAGTAATTTGCAAAGTGTTAAAATTACTGAACATCGAGGCAGCCACATCAGTGTGAAGGGAATCAGCAGGTCACACACCTTCATCTCAGACTATTATTCAAAACAACCTCACCAACTTCTAAGGAAATAAACTGCCCTTTTTCCAATCTGTGCACCTACAGAGCACTCCACTCTCTTCAGGATTTCTCACCTTTGTCTTGAACCTCAGACTCCAAGTTAGAAATCCACATGGATTTTTATCATAATTTCATTTTGATCTTGACTTGCCAAGCTTAGCAAACAAGCATGTGAGCTTTTGGGAAGCCAGGTGTCCAGCTGGTTGGCAACACATTGGCACTGAAAAGAAAGTTTGTTACAGAAAAGAACTCTGTGAATTTAATTAAAATCAGGAAAAGCATTGCGCAAACAAATTCTATGAATGTAAGTTGAATTCTCACTTTAATAAAAGACAGAGGTGGCAAAGCTGTATTTAAGGATTCAACATCTGCCTGCTCTAATAAAATAAAGCAGCCTTAGCCAAGTGTGTTGGTGTCTCTGACAGTGCAGAGAATAACCCATGACAGCTGAAAAAGCAGATTTTCCAAAGTTTCCCTTGCCCCTGCTACTTGTCCCAGGCCAACCAACACTGGTAACTCTGCACTGCCGTGGTCTCCCACCCCTCAGCCTCCTGTGAACCCAACAATATAAAGATGTTTTTTCACTGCCCCTCTGAACTGAACACTAATTTAAAAATCTGCTCATTGTAAGACCCCTCTGCTATGTCGTGGTTTGGGAGGTGTAAATGGAGTCCAAGTGCTGTCAGGCACTGGGAGATCCCAGGCTGTGACTGAAAAGGACAAAGATGGGAACTCCATGGCCTTCAGTTTGTGCCAAGGACAATGCCATGGTCACCCTGTGACCGCCACTGGCTCCTCAGCAGATGACATTGGAGTTGTTCTTACAGCTGAACTTTTTCAGGCCTCTTTAGTGGTCTGAGCAACTTCTCTCCAGTATTTCCCTGCCATCCCTTCTCTGGGAAGGAGTGGAGAGGGGACAGCACGCAGAGCTGCAGCAGAGCTGGCTCCTGAAGCCGTGGTTTGCCTCATGGAACAGGTACTCAGTGCCCAGTCCCAGGGTCTGCTGCAAATCCAGCCCTCCCACCCCACTCACTTCATCCAACATTCCAAAATCAGGAATCCCTCCAGGGAAACCTGGTGAAGCCAGGTCATTCCTTTTTAGCAACTAATGGAAACAAGTTCCATGTCAAGGAGTGCCACAAAAGAAAGAACAACTATAAGGAAATGGGGGAAAATAATGTAATCAAATAACTCAGGAGTTACTGAGCTGTTCTGCAATTACTTGAAAGATCTGGGGGGAAAAATGAAGAAAAAATAAAGGAGCAGCATAAGAAGGAAAAATAATTTCTGCCTACATTGTACAGCAGTATGGCCTTGGTCTCCAAAAGTCCTTAAATGTTTGGATTGCTGAATCAACTAAATATTTACAAGGTAAATCTTTATGCTAATACTAATTAATTTGGAAAATAGGAAACAAACCCATAATTACACTCACTTCAAGGAGCAACAGAAACTAGTCTTGGCTGTCAAATAAATAATAAATAAATCAATTAACTCAAGAGTATAAGCCACCAGGAAGTTACTAAGCATAAAAATATTTATGGCATAACACATTCTAAAACTGTCAGGGATTTACACAGAGTGATAAAAGGAAACAGTTTCTGAGAGTTTTCTTTTTTAACTTCAGCTCCAAAAAGGCATTTTCCTAGGAAAAAAGTCACCTTAAAAAAACTATTTCTGTTTTAGTCTCTCCATCTGTAAAAGGTACAAGAAAATCAGCACACTCCCAATTTATGGGTTTTTTTTGTTCCCTCCACAGATCTCCAGTGGCAAAAAATAACAAGTCTTAGTGCCAATATAAATCTAAGACAAAACTGGAACTATGGTAAGAAAACTACTACAGACATAAATAAAACAAGACTGCAGTAGTGACACTATTCCTCCAGCTTTAGAAACTTGGACTGAAATCATCTTTCACTTTCAATGGCCGCCAAAAACTCACCATTCTTTGCACATCCCAAATGGAAAGAAAACAATCAACCAACCAACCCCCCAACTTACACGCTATGTGGAGATACTGGACACACATCAAGCAACAACCTTTAATAATCTGAATTTGTAGGTTGGTGCCTCTTTCCTACACAGGCCAAACCAGTTACAACCACTCACTCCAAGGGCAGTGGATGAGGCCGATGCTTTGGTGAGTGTAATGTACACACCAGCTTGTAAAACTACTTTTAAATATCCGTGACTCGCAGCATAATTGCTTCCCTCTCCACTAAGTACAGAGTTTGTAGGATTGTATTACAGCCCTACCTATAAAATGCAGCCCTTTATTAGGGACAAATTAGACAGCCCTCAGTAACTTAATAACATAATAACCCATGACCACAACACTGCAGGTTTATGCATCCCATCCTGCTTTACTGATGCAAATGAGACTCCTGACTGCAGCTGGATTAGCCACATGTTTTAAATAAACCATGTATGTGTTTTATAAGACTGAGGTCAGAAAAAAGGGAAGAAGCATTAAAATACAGTGTTACTCTGAACATATGAGCTGCTTCAGGATTGCAGTTGGGAGGACACAGCAGTACTTTAGGTGAGTTATGTGTGATGTTATCCATAGAACGAGAAACCCCAGGCTAAGAGGGCAGGGGACATGGCTGGGGACTGCTTGGGGCAGTGAATGCCACACAGGCACTTCCAGGGGTGAGACCTCCAGGACAACACAGCCAAGGACACGTCCTCCTCCTCATCCTCAAACACCTGAGGGACAAAAGCGTGCCGGCACAAAGCCTCCTGTCCAGCCACTGTGACTGGCCGTGCCTGGCACCACAGCAGGCCGATACCATGGAGTCACAGAAAGGTTTGGGTTGGAAGGGACCTTAAAGTTCATCTTCTTCCACACCCCTGCCAACACAGACACACTGAGCCACTGGGGACACCGGGGCACTAAGGACTGAGGCCGTGACACAAGAGAACACAGTCTTAGGCTTTGCCAAGGTAAGTTTAGGTTGGATGTTAGGAAGAAATTCTTCATGGAACGGGTGATAAGACATTGGCAGGGGCTGCCCAGAGAGGTTTGGAGTCCCCATCCCTGGTGTCCAAGGAAGGATGGAGGGGGCACTCAGTGCTCTGGGCTGGGGATAAGGTGGGCATGGGGCACAGGCCGGACTCGGTGATCTCAGAGCATTTCCCAGCCTCAGTGATTCTGGGATTCTGTGATTGACACACCGGGGAATCAGGAAATTAGCAAAGACAGGACATGTGCAGGATCGACATTACAAACAGCTCCTCCACAGAAAGAGTGCTCAGACACTGGAAGGGTCTGCCCAGGGAGGCGGCAGAGTCCCTGTCCCTGAAGCGTTTAAGTACCACTGGACGTGGCACTAAGTGCCGTGCTTCAGCAGCCAGGGCGGTGTTGTTTCCCAACCTCAGTGATTCTGGGATTCTGTGATTGACACACCGGGGAATCAGGAAATTAGCAAAGACAGGACATGTGCAGGATCGACATTACAAACAGCTCCTCCACAGAAAGAGTGCTCAGACACTGGAAGGGTCTGCCCAGGGAGGCGGCAGAGTCCCTGTCCCTGAAGCGTTTAAGTACCACTGGACGTGGCACTAAGTGCCGTGCTTCAGCAGCCAGGGCGGTGTTGGGTGACAGGCTGTGCTGGGGATGCCGGGGTGTCTCCCAGGCTGTGTGACCGCGGTGTTTCTGTCACTGTCACGTTCCTGTGCCCGCGGTGTTTCTGTGCCCGTGGCCGAGGCACCCGCGGCTGAGGGGCCGCTGCCGGGCGCGGCGCGCACGCGCAGAGCGGTCCCGGCCGGCGCAGGCGCGCGGGTGCCCCTCCGGCGCGC